ACAAATTATTGTATTACTATTATTATATCATTTTGGACTTTTTGAATTGATTATTTGTTCACTAATTTTGTGCACCAGTATACATATTGTTTCACAATGTGCAAATAGGAGTGTGTTTGTCACTTTTTTCACTAAATATTCCCCGTGAGGGAATTCACGTATGACACAACTATTTTATTATTTATGTATTGATTTATCACCTTGGATATATATATGTAGGGGATGTATATAGAGTTTGTGCATTGTAACACGTAATTGTTAGTATTATTAGTGCTACACTATTTATTTTTAATTGCCAGGAGATGGTACTTGCCTGACTGCATTGTGCCAAGTGTAATGTTTGGTGGAGGGGGGATTATGGTGTGGGGTTGTTTTCTCAGGGGTTGGACTTGGCCCCCTAGTTCCAGGGAAGGGAACTCTTAAGGCATCAGCATACCAAGACATTTTGGCCAATTTCATGCTCCCAACTTTGTGGGAACAGTTTAGGGATGGCCCCTTCCTGTTCCAACATGACTGCACCAGTGCACAAAGCAAGGTCCATAAAGACATGGATGAGTGAGTTTGGGGTGGAGGAACTTGACTGGTCTGCACAGAGTCCTGACCTCAACCCAATAGAACACCTTTGGGATGAATTAGAGTGGAGACTGTGAGCCAGGTCTTCTCGTCCGACATCAGTGCCTGACCTCACAAATGTGCTTCTGGAGGAACAGTCAAACCTTCCCATAGACACTCCTAAACCTTGTGGACGGCCTTCCCAGGAGAGATGAAGCTGTTATAGCTGCAAAGGGCGGGGCCAACTCAATATTGAATGTGAATGGCCACAATAGAAACCAATATGATGTGAATCAATAGGTTATAAAACGCATCCGAATTCGCATGTGTGAACTGGGGCTTAAATTAATGCGTCAAATTGTTGCACTTGAAAACTTTCTTGAAGCAGGAGTGACAGTGAACTGGAAAACTAGTAAATTTTTTACCGTGCAAAGTATTGAACTTTGCAGTTCAGTGAATCAGGCCCTTTGTGACTCATTTAGATACAACATAATGCTTAGTAGAGTGTGAAGGGAACTACGGAGTATTTTCTTTTGGTACACATTTAGAGTCTTTACTGTAACATCTGCCCGACAATAAGTTCTAAAGCGTTTTCCAATGTACTTGCTTGTTTTTTTTTGTAATTCTGTTTTATATGCAGTAAGCTTTACAGTCAGGGGCCCAAGGGCAAAATCTGGTCTGGGATCAGCTGTTAGAAGATCTATCACAACAGAGCTGGACAGGAAAACTGGTAAAGCTGAAGTTTAATCTGCTTATATTGTCTCCCTGATTCCTGTTTCCCTCCTCATTACCATGCTTATGATATTTTTAAATGAAAACTTTTTTCAAACCTTATTTTAGGCTATGTCATCACTGGGTCTCTGTACTTATCTATGCAATGCAGGAAGATCATAGCTGGTGGGAGAGTGCTGTACAGAGCTTCCTAAAAACATCACAGTATGCTGCCTCAGTACTCCAGCCCTGATGCAAGCAGTGGAACTTTAGCCCTTTGTCAGCTGAATCTGGGTCACAAGAGTGCTGAACGAAGAAATAGGGCCAAAAGAGCTTTGGCTATACTTCTCCTTTAACCACTTGACCTCCAGAAGGTTTTACCCCCTTCATGAACAGGGCATTTTTTGCTAGTCAACACTGTGCTACTTTAACTGGCAATTGCTCAGTCATGCAACAGCCCAAATGAACCCCATATACCCAAATGAAAATATAAAATTTTTTCACACAAATAGAGCTCTTTTTTGATATTTGATCATCACTGGGATTTTTTTATTAAATAAACAAAAAAATACCAACACTTTTGAAAAACATTTATTTAAAAAAAAAATTATAAAACATATCCAATAAAAATATTAAAATCTTTAATAGATCTTTAGATCTTATTTTTTTATAATTTTAGGCCAAATGTATTCTGCTTGGTTAACCACTTGACCTCCAGAGGATTTACCCCCCTTAATGACCAGGTCTCTTTTTGCTACTCGGCGCTGCACTAATTCAACTGATAATTGCGCGGTCATGCAATGCTGCACCCAAACGAAATTTATGTCCTTTTTTTCACACAAATAGAGATTTCTTTCGGTGGTATTTGATCACCTGTGCGCTTTTTATTTTTCACGCTATAAACAAAAAAAGGCCAAAAATTTTGAAGAAAAACAATATTTTTTACTTTCAGCTATAAAAAATATACAGTAAACTCAAAGTTGGTTATAAATTTAGGCCAAAATGTATTCTGCTACATGTTTTTGGTAAAAAAAATCCCAATAAGTGTATATTGATTGCTTTGTGTGAAAGTTATAGCGTCTACAAACTATGGTATAGATACTGCAATTTACGCCATTTTTTTGCTATACAGCGCTGAGCTAGTTTAATGGACAATTGCGCGGTCATGCAATATAGTACATAAATGAAATTTACATCCTTTTTTTCCCCACAAATTGAGTTTTCTTTCGGTGGTATTTGATTGCCTGTGTGGTTTTTGTTTTTTGCGCTATAAAAAAAAAGGCTGACAATTTTGAGGAAAAAAAAACAATATTTTGGACTTTTTGTTATAAAACATGTCCAGTGAAAAAAAAATTTAAAAATCACATGTAGTCATAAATTTCTGCCAAAATGCATTCTGCGACATGTCTTTGCTAAAAAAAAAAACCCAATACTTGTAAATTAATTGGTTTACGTGAAAGTTATAGCGTTTACAAATGGCGTGAAAGATACTGGGATTTTTAGTTTTTTTTTATACTAATAATGGCGGCGATCAGCGACTTATGGCGGCGATCAGCGACTTATGGTGGGACTGCGGGACTGCGGCGGACATTCTGACATTGGGGGGTACTGACTTGGGGTCACTGACATCCCCAGTGACACTAATACAGTGATCAGTGCAAAAAAAAAAAAAAACACTGACACTGTACTATTGGCACTGGGTTGGAAGGGGTTAAGTTTATTATTCAGGTAAAGGGTTAACTGTGTGAGGGGGAGTGTTTTACTAGGGGGCGGGGGTGTGTACTGCAGGGAACACCACTGATCGGGAGAGAGAAACTCTTCTGTCCCGATCAGCGTGTCCTGGAGCTGTCAGGGAACTGACAGAAAGCACAGCTACTGCATCTGTGCTCTCTGTCAGCGATTGCCGCTGATCGCTGGGACATAGCCGGTAACGACCGGCTGTGACCCGGCGACTGACATCTGCGGCTGTGATCAGCGGGACAGGTAGGGCGATGGCGCGCCTCGCGCACGCCCCCTACCTGTTTTCAAAACACACGTTTTAAAACGTGCTTTTGCCCAGCCGTGCCGCCCTGCCACCATATTTCTACAGTGGCTGGGCGGCATGGGGTTAAAAAAAATCCCAATAAGTGTATATTAATTGGTTTGTGTGAAAGTTATAGCATGTACAAACTATATAATATGGAATTTACACAGCTGTAGACAATATACATGTAATGGCGGTCATCAGTGACTTATAGTGGGACTGTGATAATGTGCCGGCCAATCTGGTAGTAACTGACGTCGATTGGGAGGGACATTAAGCCCCAGTTCACACTGGTGCGACTTGTCATGTGATTTGACAGTTCCAAATTGCATGACAAGTCTCACCCCATTGCTGGCAATGCAACCGTTCATATTGCAGCGACTCATGTTGCATGTTGAAAAAGGTTCCTGCACTACTTTTTGCTGATTTCATGACGACTTGCATAGATTTCTGTTCTATGAAGTTGTTAGCCGCAATTAAATTGGCATTGCAAATCACACTGATATGCAGCTTTAAAATCACGCTGGAGTAGTGCGATTTGAAAGCCGCACCAGTGTGACTAACTGACTAGCTGACACTAATGTCGCTAGTGACACTAATACAGTGATAATACTGTACAAATGAGACTAGCTGGGTGACAGGGGTGATCAGGAGGGAAATCAAGGGGTTAACTGTGTGCCTACACATGTAATGTGTGCGGCTTTTACTAAGAGATCTGGCTGCTTTTTCTCCCTGAACTCAGAGTTGGGCTCAGTAAGAAAAAACAGCCGGATTGTGTTCTGTGTAAACATATGACTCTATTCTGTGATTGGCCACAGGCCAAAGCCCAAATCATGGCTGTAACCTGCTAATTGACTTGTTCTGTGGCCAATCGCAGCACAGATCGGCAGGGGGGAGCACGCACCCAAAACCCATAAGCAGGCCTGTGATGTACAGGTACATGGCAGGCCTGCCTGTTCTGCCCGCCCGCAGTAATTTTACTGCGGGCAGTTGCCGGTTGGCAAAAGGTTAATATAATTCATGCACTCCCGGTTCAGTGATCCAACATTTGGAGGGTCCACATTAAGCAGACCTTACTGCTCAGTACCTAGTAGTAATAATTGCATTCTAGGGAAGTGGATTGCTGTTTTCAATGAATTTTTTTTCTATGCAATCAACATTTAATCTTGTAGATCTGCTTCACCTCTTTCTGGATCTTTAAAAAAAAAAGGCTTGTTGTACTTAATGCAGGCTTAAAATGTCAACTTTTATATGTGTATGGTGACATCAAACCAGGGAAGGAGACAGAGGACACCGAGGCCTCGCTGGCTATTGTTCACGCTTGGCATTCCAGGCCAAAATCACCTTGACATTGTTGACTGTCAAACATCAGCGCGATGATCTATCTTGGTTACTGAAGCTCACGTGAAGTCAGCAATATGCTATTTTACAAAGTGACACTAGCAGACATAACTATAGACGGTGAAATTATTTTTGCACACCACTATTCTCGGATGTTAATCACAAGAGTGACTTGCGAGTGGAAAACTTCTATGTTAAAGCTGAAATCCAGACTAAACAAATATTTTCCAAAATGCAAAAAAAAAGTAAGTAGTTCAGTCATGAATTGTAAACTATAGGAACCTCTAGCAAGGGGCAGACTGACCATTCGAGCACTCGGGCACTGCCCGAGGGCCCGGGGTCAGTAGGTGGCCCCATGAAATGCCCCCGGTACCTTTTATAGGCTTTTTTGGGTGTGCTTTGAGTGTGGGCAAGGACACAGGGGCTCCATGATCCCCTATTGCCTGGGGGCCCCATGAGTTGTCAGTCCGCCCCTGCCTCTGGCTCAATTTTTCTGAAACATTTCATACTGTACTGGCAAAGGAATGCTGCTGTCACCATTCACTTCAATGGAATGAATGATAGTCTGTGGGATGGAATTTCCTTTAAAATGACTTATGCCATCGCTTTTTTTTTAAAAAAAAAATAAGCATGGTTAAATTGTATATATGGCCAACATTTTATCTTTCGTTGTTGAAATAGTTAAATATTTTTTGCTGACTTTGTGCTATTGGGGAGATTTTGCTTTACTTCCTGCCTTGCAGTTGCATCATGAAGTAATGGGAACTTTCTACAAAATGAAGGGAATTCCACTTTTAGACAGATATCACATAAATATGTGTAACCAGGGCTGCTGTCATAAATACTGGGGCCCTGTAGGCTGACCTGACAGGCCCCCCTTCCACCCTGAAAAATATAAAATGCTACAAATACACAAAAATAATTACTAGAGGACGCAAACACCACTTACAAAATTCCTGCTAAATCTAAAAGATAAACCCGTATTGAGTTAATAAATAAAGCTCTTTGCAGCAACAAAATTCACATGATTTCCCTATCAACACAGACAGTGTGCAGAATGGGGAATCCCTCCTTCCGAAGAAGCTGTCCCCGCCAGGAGAAGACAGTGATTATTGCTAGCGGCTATACAAGCCGCTAGCAATAATCGCAAAAGAATCCGGGAGGCTTGTTGTACCCAAGTTGATCGATCAACTTAGTACATTCAGCCTGCCAACTCATGGTTCAAATCTCGTCTGGTTCCTGTCTAAAGGAATAAAAATTAGGGTTTACTTACCCAATACTCTACTCCTCCAAGCTAGACTGGTCCCTGCAGTATCCACCCATATCCTCCACCTGTCTAGGGTTCTGATGTCATGAAAAGCAGAGCAGGGTCTATAGCCCTGCCTAGGATGTGTGGGCGCCGAGCCAGATCGTAGGGGAGAGCCGCCAGCTGGGGGAACAGAGGATCAGGTAAGTAAACAGTTTCTCCTCTCCCGTAGACATAACATACAATTATAATGTCAAACTTGCTTAGAGTTAGACTTTAACACTTCTCCATCTCTCCCACTCTGTCTTCTCCATCTTCCCCACTCTGTCTTCTTTATCTTCCTCACTCTGTCTTCTCCATCTTCTCCTCCTTCCCCACTCTGTCTTCTCGATCTCCCCCAGTCTATCTTCATCTTCCTCATTCTGTCTTCTCCATCTCCCCCACTCTGCCTTCTCCATCTTCCCCACTCTGTCTTCTCCACCTTCCCCACTCTGTCTTCTCCATCGTCCCCACTTTAACTTCTCAATCTCCCCACGCTGTCTTCTCCATTTTCCCCCCACTCTGTCTTCTCCATCGTCCCACTCTGTCTTCTCCATCTTCCCCACTCTGACTTCTCCATCTTCCCCACTCTGACTTCTCCATCTTCCCCACTCTGTCTTCTCTAATTTCCCACTTTTACTTCTCGATCTCCCCCACTCTGTCTTCTCCATCTTCCCCACTCTGTCTTCTCCATCGTCCCCACTTTAACTTCTCAATCTCCCCCACTCTGTCTTCTCCATCTCCCCCACTCTGTCTTCTCCATCTTCCCCACTCTGTCTTCTCTAATTTCCCACTTTATCTTCTCAGTCTCCCCTATTCTGTCTTCTCCATCTTCCCCACTTTATCTTCTCAATCTCCACCATTCTGTTTTCTCCATCTCCCCCACTCTGTCTTTTCCATTGTCCCCACTCTGTCTTCTCCATTGTTCCCACTTTAACTTCTGAATTGCCCCCACTCTGTCTTCTCCATCTTCCCCACTCTTCTTGATCTCCCCATTCTGTATTCTTCATCTTTCTCACTGTGTCTTCTCCTTCTTCCTCATTCCGTCTTCTCCATCTCCCCCACTCTGTCTTCTCCATCCTCCCCTCTCTGTCTTCTTCATCTTCACCTCTCTGTCTTCTACACCTCGCACAATTTGCCTTCCCCACTCTGTCTTCTCAGTTTTCCCCACTCTGTCTTCTCAATCTCTTAACTCTTTCTTCTTTATCTTCCTCACTCAATCTTCTCAATCTCCCCCACTATGTCTTCTCCATCTCCCTCACTGTGTTTGTTCCAGCTTTCATCCACTCTGTCTTCTGCATTCCCCCTGCTCCCACAATGTCCTCTCCAACAGCATCAAATAAATGCACTAACACAACTCCAAGACTAATCATCAACCAGACAGTGGAGCTTGCCATGCACCTCTGTTTCTTCGCCCCCCCCCGCTAACATTCCCACTACCCGACTGCAGGTGCTCTTCTTTCCTCCCTGATAACACACATAACATCTGGAAACAGACTGCTTTCTTATTGGCTGACATGCTCCATCACTGTGCTTTCATTTTGATGGCACTAGTCTCTGGCATATGCCCTGGTGCCAGTGACCAGCACTGTCAATCACCACTCATTAAGCATTTGTCTCTAGCGGAGCAGTGTGGTCAGACAACAGTACGGGAAATTCTACATTCACTTTGTCACTAGGGGACAGGATGCAGAACAAAAGTGAGTGATGAGATTTCTTCTTTTAAGGATTACAAAGCAGCATTAATTTGTGCCTCTCAAATTTGCCTAAAGTTGCAATTCCTGATTGTACCTTCAAAAAATGCTAGATACTTGGCTGTCTTGCGATTCAATGGCTTCAGCACTCTTCAGTCAATGATCCTGAACAATTATGCAAATCACGAGGTCTGACCTCACTGTTATTCAAAGTATTAAAGCCAAAGATGGCCAGGAAATTAGCATATTCAAAAGGTCAAAAGATTTCTGCCAGTACAGGTTTACTTTTCTTTTAAAGATCAATTTCAGCTTGGGCAAAAATCTATTTCATTCTGCCCGTTTGACAGATCTCTGTTGCTCACCAGAGCAAGTTTCAGATTTAAGGATGGCCACTGCCATTTAACTGACTTCTTATGAGCCCATGGTGTTTTGGCTTTCCCCCCCAACCCCTATAACCCCCCTGCCCTGGGCTCACAGAAGAAATGCTGCAGAGAGTGGCACCATGTTATTATGTGGAACCAATCTCTGCAGAAATGAATTCACCTGCTGCTGGAGGAAGAGAAAAGAGTGCAGAAGACATGTGACTTCACTGAACTGAAAACACTTTGAAAACAGGTGTATAATAGGGCTTGGTGCAAAAGGGGGTGTTTATTGATTTTTTTTTAATTAAAGGGTGCAAGGGTACTCCAAGGGGGTGGAGAAAATAGGGGTGTATATTGATTTTATTATTATACAGTGCAGGGTTACTCCAAGAGGGGTTGGGGCAAATACGAGGTGTATATTGATTTTTTTAAAGGGTGCAGGGGTACTCCAAAAGGGGTTAGGGCAAATAGGGGGAGCATATTTTGATTGTTTTTATTGTAGGGTACAGAGTTTACTCCAAGGGGGTTGGGGCAAATAGGGGGTGTATAATGATGTGTATATTAAAGAGTGTGTGCAGGGTTACTTCAAGTGGGGTTGTGGCAATTAGGGGAAGTATATTGATTTATTTTATTTAAGGGTGCAGGGGTACTCCAAGAGGGGATGGCGTAAATAGGGGGTGTATATTGATTTTTTTAGAAAAGGGTGCAGGGTTACTCAAAGGGAGCTTGGGGCAAATAGGCGGTGTATATTAAGTTCTGTTTTAAAGAGTGCAGGGTTACTCCAAGAGGGGTTGGGGCAAATAGGAGGGTGTTTATTTACTTTTTTTTTATTAAAGTGTAGGGGTACTCCAAAAGGGGTTGGGGCAAATAGGGGGTGTATATTGATTTCTATATTAAAGAGTGCAGGGTTACTCCAAGAGGGGTTGGGCCAAATAGGGGGGTGTATATTTACTTTTTTTTATTAAAGTGTAGGGGTACTCCAAAAGGGGTTGGGGGAAATAGGGGGTGTATATTGATTCTTTTAATAAAGGGTGCAGGGGTACTCCAAAAGGGGATGGGGCAAAAAGGGGGTGTATATTGATTTTTGTATTAAAGGGTACAGGGGTACTCCAAGAGAGGATGGGGCAAATGGGGGATATATATATTGATATTTTATTATAGGGTACTGAGGTACTCTAAGAAGGGGTTGGGGCAAATAGGGGGAGGGGGGCTACAGGAGGAAGATCGCAATCCTGGAATTGGGCTTTCAATATACGAGATCATATAACATAAATTTTTGTTAAGTATATATAATAGTAAGATTCTGTAATGCAGGAACCCACTACCAATGTACTGTTCCTGGAATACACAAGTTATTTGCAGCTTGGCAGCTTCTGCCCAGCCAGCTGTGGCTACAGCAATGTCCCTCCAATGACAAGCCGCACATGTCCTCTGCATTCTAGGGATGTCATTCCCACGCAGTGTGTCAGTATTCCTGTTCTATAGAAAAAGGACGGCTTATGTAAAGATGTCTGCATTAGATATGTCTACTTTTCTGCCGTTTTCATTAATCAACACAGTTATATGCTGAAAAATGCAGAACCAGCTCAGAATGACCATACACCCACAAGTTCAGCACAAGGTAAAAGTAACAAAGAGTTAAATCTTCACTCCAGCTAGATTTAAAACAATTTATTCCCGTTATGGATTTATTTATAAAAACATTAAATCCCACTCACCCCTGAGCGTTTTGTGGCACAATTCCCATAACGTGATAACACTCAAGATAAAAAAATCCAATACTTTTATAGCATTATGTCGCTTGTTGCCTATTGTGTGAATCTCAGAAAAGTATAAAAGTTTCTTTGGGGTAGAATTTTGATGTCAGCCTCCTTTAATCCTTTGCATAGCAGCTCTGAGATGGTAAGGAAGGGGGGGGGGGGAGCATTCTGAAAGGGTCAGGCATAATGGAGAGTAGATATGGCTATCCATTATATTGCCTTTTCCTACGCACACTGATGGCCACCCATGCTCACTTGATCAGAGAGAACTCTGATTGGAGGAGAGATGTCATGTGCTTATGACAGATCGCATGAAAAGGCTCTCCTCCTTTTTAAACAATTTCATTTTTATGCGCTCCACCAGTTTCCAGTCTTGAAGCCTCATTAGTTAAACATTTCACTGTGCTTTATAAATGTGCCATGTGGTTTTTTTTTCTACAATGGGTGTGCCCA